GACGTTTAAGTGGCCATAAGGACTCCCTGCCTTGCAAACGCTAGATATGCTCCCTCCCATGTGAGTTAACACTGCTTTAGAACCCCTGACACCTCTTTAAACTACAGGAATTGTCTCCAGAATGTAGCTTGCTTTTTTTTTCCCCCCCCCAAAGCCCATGAACCTGAAACAGAAGATAACCTCATGAAGAAATCTCAACATGTTTTTGTAGGTATAATAAGAGGGTGGTCTGATTATTATATCAAAAGAGTTCTTGTGTACAACCACCTGATACCGCAGCCGGTGCCCGGTTACCAGGTAGGATTACTGCACTGATTTCATTCAGCAACAAGGACTTCTCTGAGCCCCCACCACCTGCCAGGTACTTCAGTGCTTTCATACAATCCTCCATTTCACCAGGCCCTCCCTCCCTTTTCCTTTTACCCTGAAAGGGCTATGTGGAATGTTTTGTACATTTTAAATTACACTTCTGTCAATATTCTTTTAGACCTTTTAAAATAGTCCTCAAGATTACTGTAATGGTCCTGTTGATTCATAAGAGCAGATATTTTTAAAAAAAAAAATCACTGCCCTAGAAAATGTCCCCTTTTTTCAGTAATATGCTTACATCCCCTCCCCGCCCCCCAGGCTAGGGTTTTATTTTTCTCTGAGGAATAGTGAAATCAACAGTTGAAACTATCAACTATTTCAGAAAAGCTGGTGGAATCGTTATGTTTATAAAACTTTCAAATTATTGAATCAGTAATTGAAAGATTTTCTTAAATGATTAAGAAAGAAGGCATTCTGCTTTTTAAAACACCACTTCTTTGTCTTTTGTTAGCACAGCCTTCTCTTTTAGAAGCCCTTATATGCTAGCCCAGTGTTCTTTCTTAGCATTGTGTGTGCCAAGAACCCCTTTGAGAACCTGTTAAAAAGCTGTGAATCCTCTCTGAAGAAAAACGTAGATGTACACAAAATCTGACTTATAATTTCAGGAATTTATAGATCCCTTGAAATACCAGATTAAGAACTGCTGACCTAGCTTATCAATAATTACGACATTTTACATTAAATAACAAATTGTTCTCACTTCAATAAATCTTCCTTCTTTCGACTCCTTCCCTCATTACAGCAACTACTGACCAGAAATAGCAAACTACAGCCTATTACTGCATAACTCCTACTTATACTCTTTAAAGTATAATATAAAATAAGAAACAAGTTTTTGTTGGTGATGGTGGTTTCTATTTTTGGTTTTTTAATCTAAGCAGATGTTTAATGGATAATTTTCCATTCTAATCAACATAATTAAAATGAAGGCCATTGGGAAGAAAATGCCTACTGACATACCACACACACACAAAAAAAAAATAGCAATAAATCACCATCTCAAATCATCAACTTGAAAAAATACTTTTTGCCATATAAAAAATAAATTTGAGTTTAGAATAGAATGCACTACAAAATATTACCTATCTACATAAGGCATTAAATAAAGGAGGGAAATCATGAAAGCTTTAGTGGAAAAAATAAAAAATTTCCAAAGTAGAAAACAAAAGGTGCCTAAAGGAGCTAGGAAACCACATAGGAGAATTCTAAGAAGTTGTTATTAGTTAAAATAATGCCAAATTAATCAGAGAAGTAAAAGAGTTTGAGGACCAAGTAAATGCTATCAGATTTGTTATTTAAAATGTTATTAGAGTAATTACAGTAGAGTAAGGAAGGCAAAAGTGAGATAGCAAAGAATTAAAAAATCAGTGCCTATCAAGGATGTAAACATGCTGAGGGCAGGCTATTCTGAAACCTCTAGAGGCCAAAGGATAAAATAAGTCCAAAGGGATCATGATAAGGTCAACAGAAGCTTCTATGTGTTTGGTGACCCTGTGCTGGGCACTGGGTACACAAAATTATAAGGCATGCCTTCATCTTTTAGGAGCTCACAGTCTAGTGAGAAAAAAGGAGGCAAACAGGTAGTAATTATAATTCATCGGTAATGGAGATCTGCACAGAGAATTCTGGGAAAACAAAGGAGGCACCTCCAACCATGCCCAGACAGACAAAGATAAGTGGTGGTGTCTGAACAAGGTCTCAAACAACAAGGAGCTATTAAACCAGAGGAGAAGGGCATTCTAGTGAGACTGGGTGTCACCAGCAGTTGCGTGGTGCGGAGGTGTGGTTTGGGGTAAAGTGCAAGGCTGGGAGTGGCAGAGGTCCTGCAATCTTTAGTGAATCCGTAAGTTAGTGCATGAAGTCATGTAGTGGGAAAGATGTCAAGAGTGGAAGTTGTCAAGGCAAACAAGACAAAAGATGTGGCAGCAAGGTGCCCAAAGGTCTTACAACGAGCGACTGTGAGCTGCAGGCAAGAGACATGGACTGAGAGGGAGGCTGACGGTCTAGAGATTACCTGAGCGGAGGGAAAGAGACAGAATGTAGGAGGCATGTAACAATAAAGAGTACATTCAAAGCAGGAAGGAAAGCCTGGAGTCTGGGTTCCTGGAAGCAAAGCAGCTGGAGTGGCAGTAACAGTCACTGTGCAAAAGAGGCAGAGGCGCCTCGGGGCCACTATGGGACAAGGTGAAGTCCATCAGGCAGTGCTGTGAGTGAGCATGTGAAGACGATAGGCCAGAGGTCGCAGCTATCACCAAAGGTAGAGAGAAGGAGCATGAATAATACAGTCAAGATCCTTGAAATCTAGCCCGAGTTTATCCTGCAGCCTTGGTCAACTCTCATGCCTCTGCTGTGCCTCCCTTTTTGCACCTATAAAATCAGGAGTCTGGACTAAACGGTCATTTGAATTCCTGAAATTATATCAGACAGTTTTCTCATACAGAAACGATAGCTATGAGGCTGAGGATGTGCTCATAAACTTTGTTGAAGAACTGTATTGTAGTTCCTATTAGAATCCATAAATGTTACATTAGTAACTTTCTTCTATATAGGGCTTTAAAATTTATAAAGGTCTTTTACATATACTTTCTAATGTAATCCTAACCACCTCTCCATGAGAGCGCTACAATCTCTGTGTTATAGATGAAGAAACTGAGATTCCACAAGGCGGAAGCAATTGCAGCTTTAAGTTGGTAAAGTCAGTCTTTTTCTCTTTATATAAAGATTCTACTTGGTATGCTCTGAGATAACCCAGGACTTATTAACATTTAAGTTTTGAAAATGCATTCCTTCAGCAAGTAACAGGGTGCCCCCTAATTGTACTAAAACTAAAAATCTTATTCCAAGCATCCAATAGATTACCTGATCATCTGTAAATGCAAACAAATCAAAATAAGCCCATGTAGCCACTTACCCAAACTGTTCAGTATAGAATATGGCAGGAAAATAGTCTTATCAATCCATCTACTCTAATGTAATTTCTATAAGTAGAACACTGAGTCAGACCAGAAATTTTATTTTCCTAATGATGATTCCTTTCTCTTCAATCACTCCAGATAGTAGTCAGGTCCCAAATACCCAGTTCATACCAACTACATATTAACAGGACTAATCAAGAGAGCAAAGAAATTCCTAAGTCCTCCAAAGAAAGAAATGGGTTTCAATTATTCATCAATTATCCTTTCCTTGTTAATTCATCCATTATAAGTCCATTTTATATTTTTCTATGAAATCCTTTTTAGGATATTATGTGCTTCCTTGGTTATTACAAAAATTTCAACTTTACTTTCTAAACTACAGGAAGTAGCTTCTTTTCTGAAAAATGTAGATCGGCTTAGCGAAAGGAATTGACACACTTCAAGTCAGACAATACTTTACAAATTAATTCCTTAAAAAGTCAACAGCAACAGATCTTATGTTCTATTACTATTGACTAAAAAAAGTCTCTTTGGTATCATTCCATAACCATTTATCATTTTGAGAACAATGGCAAAAATTTGTGAATTCATAAATACGCAACATATTTTACAGGAAATTCTCCACCACAGATTGTCTTTTATACCTAAATTCAATAAAAATCAATCAACTCGAAAGATGATCACTAAGTAGCTAATATGAACAAGGCACTGTACTATGTCACACCAGGAACATTTTACCCAGCAGAAAGAACAAACTACCTGAGCCTTATAATTTAGCAGTTATCCTTAAGAGCAGGCTGGGTAGTTCACCTTTCAAAATGAAACATTGTATTTAACATCCTCATTTAGAAAACTGGAAGAAAAATATTTCTTCCTACGCGATGAAATAAGTTTAGCAAAACTAGGACTATAGATAGATGTCATCTTTCCTCATACGAGTATATGCGTAGAATTTAAGAGCAAAAAAAAAAAGCCACATGTAAAATCAAAAATATAGATGAATACTGAATGCATGACCCAAATTCTGTCATAACAGGTAAAGTCCATGCTCTCTGGAGTCAATGGAATTGTAATAGATATGTATGATATCGCGGGGTGGGGAGGCCGCGGTGGAGGATTGAGGGAAAGGGGTTGTCACTTTGTGAGGGGTGAAAAGTATAACTATTGCATTGTTTTGTACACCTGAAACTAATAAAATAAATGTAAAAAAAAGTCCATGCTCACTGCTGCTAGTCCATCCATCTTACTTGGCTGTTAACTCTACAGAGGTGACATTCAAGAAACACGCAAAAATTTCCATCTTGATCAGACAGAAAAGGCTTTGCTCCGGAGCTCATGCTGAGCGGTGATGAGCCCCTCATCGCCTGGTAACCACGTCTAGTAGAGGACCTGAAGGTTTCAGAAAAACCATCCCCAGAGGGAATTTGATAAGACTCATTAGCAACAACTGAAAGGATGTGTGCTTTCTTTCTTAGATCACTATTCCAATGACTTCATTCAGCTCATATTTCAATTCATCCTGAAAAATGAAAGAGGTTAACATGTCCTTTGTGGGATAATGAGGAGGATCAATTTCAACGTCTGGGTGAACTGCTCACATAAATTCCCAAAGACCAAAATTCCCTAACTAAATGGTGTGTGCACAGCCCACCCGTTGGTCAGAGCTCACAGTTCAAGTTTTCAATACCATAATATGAACGTCACCACAATACTCACTTTTAGTTTCTTGTTTAGTTTACAGCAGTATCTGTACACCATTGCCAAGTTCAGAGGTCCAAAATCTGCATAGAAACTGAGATTTAAGAAAAGTAGTTAATAAATGTAATTTTCAGTAACATCAATGCTTATTTTTATTTTCACTAAAATTGCAATCAAATTTCAATTATCTTCAGAAATGTAGTCAATAATATTGTGATAAGTTTGCATGGTGACAGATGATTACTAGGCTTAGTGAGGTGATCACATTGTAAGGTATATAAATGTTCAGTCACTATATTATACACTGGAAACTAATATAAAATTGTATATCAACTATATTTAAATAAAAAGAGAAATACCTTGAAAAAATAATTAAACAAATAAAGATAAAACCAACAACCAAAAAATTTATTCAGGAATAATACTGCGTTTTCCTATTGGGGAGAAATTAATATAACTACACAACCTATAACAGTACTTGCCTTCTTTTTGGCTGTGCTACTTTGATGTTTAAATTATTTTTATTCTACCTAGTCTATGATTACTTGAACATTAATAAGACTCTTTAAAAATGTTTTTTCAATTATCTTCAGGAATAAGGGTCAGTATGTAACTGATTGATAGTAATCCAAATAACTAATAGTTTCACCCTACTAATGACCTACAATTACTATAACCAGCCTCTTAACATTGGACAGTTTTGAATTCCACCTCCTCTTATCTCTCTGCCAGGACCTTAAGTAAAAGATTAAAAAACAGCCAATGAAAGAACCAACATGAACATAACACATATATGGCCTACACGTCCTGGTTCTATTTCTTTATCACCTACTTCATCATAAAGCTCGTGCACTCTGGGTTCCAATTCCAACGCTCCCACTCATACATTGCTCTCCACTGTCAAGTATCTTAAATCCAGTGGTCTTTGTTTCGTTCTCCTTGAACTTTCTCTATAGGATGACACGCTTATCTCTGTCTCTCCACCCGCTGACACCTCCAGGATACAGTCATCAGTCTGCAGATCATCCACTGCCCTGAATTTAACTGCTAACCCTTTGAAAAGCAGATGGCTCCTAACTTGAGACCCAGCATCAATTGTTTCCATCTTCAACTACCAGCTAGACTTCACATCCGTAGGTCTTTCCATTATCTGGAACTCAGAATGTCTAAAACTCAACCCATCTTCCCTTCAAATCAGCCCACCAGACTAAAAACATTTTGCTTCTCCTCGTCACTCAGATATAAAACTCCCAATCACAGCAGGGCAACAAATAAATATTAATTTCATTTTCATATATCAAATAAGCTACTACTCTAAGTTGTCCCTTCCTTTTCCATTCCTACTTTAGCAAAAGTCCAGATCCTCGACATCTCACATCTTTACAATTTCAATTCACTCTCTCCTTTGCCCAATCATCCTATAGGCCACCCTTAGAAAACACCGTTCTTATCTCAAGTTCCCAGAACTATCGAGCCACTCTTTTTGCCCACTACACATATTGTCACATACTATGAATTATCTTCTTAAGTATAGCCCCTACTGCCCAAATACAGTGCAAGCCTCTCACTCAGGGACTGTATTCCATACCTCATATGCTTAGAAGAATGTCCTACTTATATAAAGCTTCAAAAAATAAGTCTTCATTATGAATATTTTGATGTTCAATTTCAATTTAGCCTAGACCATATATTTACCAAATATCAAGTTCCAAATGAAAAAAACCAAAAAACTTTTATTTTGAGGGAACCATTTGATTTCATTTTTCTGACACCCAAATTACATTATCATAGATAACATCATTACATTACATCAAATCTGCCAATAGCCACTTGCCTTACATAAATAAAGAATATTACATTTGTACATTTTTTTGCATTACACAAGTTGGCAATATTTTGGAACTTATATTCCAGGTAACACCAAAATTAGCTATTCCTGTCCACTGACTTCATTACAGTAAAAACACAGAGTTTCAAAAAAAAAAAAGGAAACTTGCAATAATTTGAAATAAAAAGTTCTTGATTTATTTCTAAAGTTAAACAAAACGCCCATGAATCCAAATGAACTATGCCTGTAATACCAAATTACTGACCAGTTCAAGACCTGTCAACAAGAATCCACTCAAAAGAAGCAAAATGAAATTTACAAGTAAGCACCTACTGGCATTGATGAAAGCAGCCCTGTGTCTATTACAGAGATTTCCTTGTCCTTGAGTTATCAGAAGCAACGTGCTTGACTAATATACCTTATTTTTTTCTACGTGAACATGAATATTGACACGCAGAATTTTAAGGTTAATCTGAAATTTTTAGTTCTGATTATTTCAGCTTTTTAAACTCTGAACAAATTTCAGGGAAGCAGAAAGAATTCAGTTCATCTAATCAGTTTCATACTAACCATCACAAAGCCAACTTCAATTACAAATTCAAAGCTGTACAGTTTCTAACAACATAGTCAGCTTAGCCATGTGTAATTTTAGAAGCAACATGCTTAACAAACACAGCTATTTCATCAAATACCAGGAAATAAATTGGTATACTCCCAAAAAACAAGAAAAAAAAAATCAACTACAGACCTCGTCCTTACGTTGATCTGCACGCTCCAATATGGTAGCCACTAGCCACATGTGGCTATTTCAATTTAAATGAATTAAAGTTCAATAAATTAAAAATTCAGTTCTCCCATCATATTAGCCAATTTCAAGTCTTCGAGAGCTATATGTGGCTAATGACTACTGACCCAACTGGACAATACAAATATAGAACATTCCTGTCATTGCAGAAAATGTTCTGTGCTGATGGACAACAATGATCAAGATGAAAAGATGAGATAGGAACAAAAATAACTATAAAACACTAGAGAAATTGCCAAGTACCATGAGTGAGGTAGAGATAAAACGTTTGAAGACAATGTTCTTCCCTTCAGGGCCCACACACTTCCCTACAGTGAGATTAGGCCCTGGTAATTCTTATCGCCTTCTGTTCAAGGGGGTCATACTTCCAATTAGCAAGTTTGGGAACTAGAACAGAGGAGGACAGAGAGAAAAACAGAAAAAGATCCAGTCCCCATCTTCCTTTAATATCCCTCAAAGAAACAGGTTGTTCTAAGAGCAGCAGCTAGCTACTATGAACAGAGTGACACCTCTGTCCTAGCCACAACGCCAGGTTAAAGGGAAATGAATAACAAGTGATCTTAACCCAGAGGGTTTCCCACCTCACAGTATCTTGAAGCTCAAAGGCTAGCTTTTTTTTTTTTTTGGGGGGGGGATAGTTTAATATATCGTTCAGAAAAAAAAATAGTTTATATTTTCCTCAAAGGCTAGCGTTTATAGTTGACAAAAGGAGGGGTGGGCTTCAACGCACACTAAGAAATTCAAACAAGACCTTTGCACAGCCAAGAACAATTTAGAAGAGATGTTCAAATGTCAGAATTGCCACAGACAAATACAAAGCCAACAAATTTTATCTTCTGGTCATTTTATATATCCTTTCCTACAGTATATAGTTTTATATAACTACACTGTTTTCTAACTAGCTAAATAAATTTCTGAAAATTGCCAAAACCATTGGGAAAAAATGGTCATGGTTGCCCACATCTTGCTGGATTATCACTAACTTTGGTATAATAAAGTGCTGTGAATAAAGAAGACTGCTTCCAACAACATGCTTCTATGTAAGAATCTTCCTCGCCAGAGGTGGAGGGAAATGGAAACACATTTATAAGGCAGGCCACTGACCAGAGGGAAACAATAAAATACAAATATCAATACCAACTGAAGTAAGTCAAATATGCTAGAAAGTGTAAAATACGTACTTGGGCAACTTGGAACCAAAGCAGGAGAATGAAAGAATTGGGCTCAGGGTAGAAGAGGAAAAATGGAAAGTCATCAACCTGGGGACAGTGAGAAGGGGAGGAGAAATGGCAGAGAAAAGCGTAGAGAAACAACAAAGAAACATGAAGGCTGGTGGGCTTCTAAGCCTGAAGTTAACTACACTGGACAGTGTCTTCTCCATTCTGGCAATTCCCAGGATGAGCCACAGCCAAGCAAGGGCCCCCACTTTTTCTTGGGTAAAGGGGAGGTGGGGAATCTGGTCTCATTTGGGCAGGAAAGCATGGATATTATTTTATTATTTCAGAGTTCCCTCCACTTCCCCTCCAGATGAATGAGTGAATGAACAAATGAATGAAACTCCCTTACCGATTTATAAATTTCTTCGTGTAAGGTTGGCAAATTATTAGTCAATCACTAGAATGAAACTCATGAATTACTAAGTGAAAAATCAGTCAACTTGTCCTTTCATTCAATTAGTATAAATACCCAAAATCAAACTCTATTGGAAAAAAATTAATGAACTAGAGTTTTGCAAGTGGGGAGGGGAGGAAAGGGAGGGTCATCTCCTTCTGGGGAAGGCAAATAAATGGAAACCCAAGGATCAGAACAAATGTTTACCCAGGTCACCCCCTACCCACAGGGTCACCTCCTACCCACAGTGCTGGTCCTATATGTTAGAAGGGAAATAGAAGTTGGCCCTAGGCACCTTTTTGGTATACCCAGCATGTACAGCTCTTCACACAGATTTATGAAGTTTATGACATCTCATTATTTTGTGTTCGGTTTTTAAACAAACTCTAATTTAAGTGGGTCCATTCCCAGAGGAATCATTGCTTAAAACACTGTTGTACCTGATTCTACATATCAGAAGTTTCATCTGAAAATTTTCAACTCCTCGGCTAAACGATAAGCTACATTCCAAGCAATACTCATTCACTCAACAAAATTGTGACCACAAATTTCAAAACGGCCTCTTTTGCTCAGCAGACACCAATCTAAGATCGAAGCACAGTCCAAGTTTTTGCTCCAGCTCTTAACACATAACAAACCACAGTCACATTGATGTCGAGTTCCTAGGGAAGAGAGACTGCTCCTCTAAGAAGCTTCCCAGCCTCACACCAGTCACACAGAATCTGATGGAAAATCAAAGACCCCTGGGAAGCAAGGGGGTCTAGTCCCAACTCGATCACTCAGTGTCCCTGGACTGATGTCTTAGCCTGTCTGGGATTACATGTCCTTACCTAGCAAATGCAGCTGAATT